AGATTGTCATTTAAAATGAGTTAAGCGCTGCAACTGCTGCAATGCGGACTATCTGGCAACGCTGACAGCCGTGGCGGGTACGAGTACGAGTCCGACTTCGCGTAGTTCTAGGTAATGTGCTCTGGTCCTTGTCCTCGTCGCCAGGTAATGAGCAAACAATAAAAGCAAACGTCGCTGCACGAAACAATAGCGACAAGGAAGAATGTTGTAGGCGAAGAGAGCTCGCTTAGTAGATACCCTGGTAATAGATAAAAAAAAATAAAAAAAATATGAAAAGTATAGTTTCCTGTAACAAGAAGTCTATTGCGTCTGTAATTCAGTTTTAAAGAGTTTTCGAAAAGCAATAGAGGCTTTATATAAATACAATATTTAACGTCTTTGATCCCAATATCGGACAGACTGGAAAACTTTTCTGATAGCTCTTATAATATACAATTTAGTATACCCCTTTTTGCAAAACTAAAACTTTTAATAGAAAAATTACAGGGTATAGGCAAAAAAAAAAAACAATAAAAAGGAAAACCAATTAGATGCAAGCTGAACCCCGTCGAGAACAAACGAAATATACAGTGCAGCAGAGCGAGACAGAAAGAGCAGAAAGAGTGAGCAATACAACTTTTCGTGTTCCGTCGATGTTGTGACAAGCGGCTGCTGTTAGGTGGATCAGGGGTAGGGGGCGGGCGCACCGGGGCCGTGTTTATTGTGCGCCTCGTTAGCTGGCAATGGCGACCAACAACAGCGACAATGGCAACTCTGGCCGCGATGTAAATTGCATTTCCATTGTTAATTACCAGCGATTCATAAATTTTGCATAGCTCTTTGACCTCAACGTCCTGTTGGCCTGCAGCCTGGCATGGTCTATCCCATTCTTTTTTGGGCTGTGGCAGGCTTTGCTTTTAGATTGTAAAGTATACGAATCCTCAGAGTCGGATGTACTTGCTTACTTAGCATATGCATTTAATACATTTAATAGTGGTAGTCATATCGATAAAAAAAGTTAGAATAAACAAGAAACTATTGTTAATAACTAAATACTTTTTAAATTCCGAATAATTGTATTACGCCTCATGTCGTATACTCTGGCTGCCAAAGTTTATGTAACTCATCTCGAAAATGATGAAAATCTTAAAATTCATTCATTGAGATAATTTCTGGCAAACCAGCCATGAGAATTGCGTGTTTGGGCTCCATTGTTATGGCTCGTTTCATATTTCAATTTGGAAAATTTGCATTTTCTAGCAATTTTCAAAAAAGTTTAATGACAAAACTTTAAGCTCTAAGCATGGCTTAAAGCGGTTACCGCGGTCACCACCCCTCCCCCCGCACTCCATTTCCCCCGTGCGCATATTTAGCAAATGTTTTTATTGGCCGTTAGCTTCACCTGGCCCATGCTGGTGCCCGCAGGCTCCGCATTCTCCACCCGCCTTCATGATAGAAAATTAGCATTCGTTATTTATCACCACCACGAATGGGAAATTCGCTGCCAGCAGATTCTATAGAGAAGCGAACGAGCGCTTTTACTTTTCACTCACCGCATGACTTTTACAGCCTCTTAATTTAAACAGTCGCCCGTTAAGGGGCGGTTCCGGGCATGTTATGGGCGCCCAGGGGGCGGCTGGCAAGAGGGTAAAATTAATTTGTACCAGACGACATTTTTAATGTGCCTGCTACTGTTGTTGTTACAGTTGATGCTGTTGCTGTCGACTCGCATTTGGATTTGTGCTGCGTTTTTAGTTTACTTTGGACATTTTCATTCAGCGCGTTCTTGTCACGTAATTCAAATTTTATATTCACTTTTGAGAGCTCCCCAGCACCACCACCAGCCCCACTCATAGCGTGTACACGTGTCTGTGTGCGTGCGTGAGCCGCTGGGCCATTGTAAATTTTATCGATTTACCGCACAGATTTCACACCCTCCAATCTGCGATCCACAAACCACCTTCCATGTCTCGCCCCGCTGGCTGCGCGTGTACGCGAATTAACATGAAATTATAATGCACGCATCAAATTCATGTAAGCTATTTTTTCATAATTATGCAATTTTCACAGTTTTGCATAAATTGTTGGACGGTTTGCGGCATTTATGTGTCCAAATCCTGCCCTTAGTCCCTGGCACAATATGTTGTCTATTTGCGGGGCTCTTAGCGATATTTGATGAGTTCAGGCTTATGGAAAATTGTTCGATTATGCGATAATAGCCAGCTAACATAAATACCATCTGATTTGCAGCCTTTACCCAGGTGAAAAATTAATATTCGTGTTTATATATTAATAGTTGAACCAAAAATAAAATTTTCTGTGTATTTATTTTGCCAAAAACTACGATTAGATAAGATTAGATTATATATATAATTCAGTTAGGTAATTTACAGCTTGATATTTGAGGTTATTTTTAGGCTCTTATTTGATAAGAATAATTGCCTATTATCATTGATCTAAGCAGACTTTTGTCAACATGTTTGATATTGGGAAAACTGCACACAGCGTCCTCGATAGTATAGTGGTTAGTATCCCCGCCTGTCACGCGGGAGACCGGGGTTCAATTCCCCGTCGGGGAGAGAGAGGCTGCAATATTAGTTGCAACTTTATTTTTATATTCCTGTTAAAATATAATATAATTATATATACTTTGTTTAAATACATTTGCATCATTTATTTACACTTTGGGGTACAACTTGTCTATTTAACTAATTTATTTATATAACACACGGCAGCGCAAGTCATAATAAAATCGTTTCATTTTTGTAAGGCAATACCAGGATTCTTTAAATAAAATATTAAAAACGACCCAGCAAACTGAATAATTATAAACAAAATATTCACAATACAATTTAAATAATATTAAAATAAATTGCTAACATCTCTCCCCGACGGGGAATTGAACCCCGGTCTCCCGCGTGACAGGCGGGGATACTAACCACTATACTATCGAGGATGTTGATCACAAATGCTAGAAACAGCAAACTTCAGTTTGCTTCTAATGATTCTACATCTAGAATTTCTAATTTATATAAGAACAATTTATTTTTATTTCCTCAAGTTGCATTTGTTTGTTTCAGAGTTGATAAATTAAAAAGATAATTTATTGTCAAAGTTTCATTATTTTTCTTTCGGCTGTTGCTGTGTGTTTGTGTGTGGGTAATTACAGAATATTTTAAAGCGAGTGCTTGCTGAAATTACTTTTGCTTGTTAGCAATAACGGAAAACGTCTACCGGCTGCTTTGACAGACCCTCACAGGCCGGAGCATTATGCAAAAATTTGAACAGACTGCTGCAAGATTTGTTTCAACGTCCATTCAAGTCTGTGCCTGGTTCTCGTTCCCATATTTCGCACTGTTTTCCCTTTGCCTGCATGTAGATGCAAGGATAATGCGCGGCTCGTTTGGCTGCCTGCTCGTCGGCTGTTGGTCTCGAACTTTTGGCCAAAACGCCTGCAGGCGCGGCGCACAAAGCCAACACAGCAATCGATTCTGTCATTGAGCCGCCGGCTGCCAATGAGCTTCATCGGACACTGACTGTGCGCAGGGTGCGGCTGCTGTTTCGGGCCGAGGGCAAAACCATTTCCGGCCAGACAATAAACGGGCAACGTTCCCAGCTTGCTGGGCATTTCCGGTTGCGCGATCAACTTGTCGTTGTTGCTGTTGTTGTTAATGTTGTTACTGCTGCTGTTGCTATTGCTACTCTCCTCTTTCTCTTTTTTTTTCGGTATTATTTTTGTTGCCTGTTTTTCCATATTTCTTTAGCTTGTGGAATTGAAGTTTGACAATGCCAAAGCCAGCCGGCAGCAGGCAGGCAGGCAATTCCGCAAGTAAAAAGTTGAGGCAGAAAAAACTCATTTATCTTGCGCTAATGGACAAGAGCGGGCATTCAGGGGGAGCGGAAAACATTTCACTGCTCCCTCAAGCCGCAGGGCAATTCAATGTCGCCGAAGACATGTCAAAAGTTTTGCTGCTGCTGCTGTTGCTGTGTGTTTCTCGTTTAAGTTAATTAAATTTTCTCGCAAATTCGCATTTTCATTTTGTCCGCCGTGTACACGCTGCGTATGTGTAATGACAGTAAACTGCCACAAAAAAAGCTACAATTGATTAAAATTTTATTGTTTTTTTCTTTTTTTTTTTAGCCCTTGGCTTTGCGTCGTGGGCAAATTGCTTAGTAATAAGTAATTTGTGTCTGCCTGTGTGTGCCTGCGTCTCGAGTCTTTTGCATATTTTAGTTACGCAAATTGGCTGAGGCTGAAAGTTTCTTGTGAACCGTGTTTCGCGGCACGACACGACAAAATAAAAGTTTATTGCATTGCAAATGTGAGCTGAAATTTGCACATAAAAATATCATTTACACTTAATAAAATGCGATGCGTAATTGACATTTATTAGTGCCATTTTCGAGCTCATTTTTCTTATAAAACTCGCCAAAAATGTTAACAGGCAGATAAAAACGATACTTGGATTATGCATAACAAATTTGAGCAGCGATTTATTTGCTGTTAAAAGCATTTTGAGGCAACGATTAGATATTTTATTGTTAAAAGCATTTTTTGATCATATTTTCAATCACCTGAAGCCTTAAGAACAAAAAAATGTAAATAATGATTGCTTTTAAGAGAAATGGTTCGATAAAGGCATTAATTTTTATTATCGAGCTTTTAATTAACCAAAGCCCAATGAGGTGCTTTTTGCAAACAAAATTGAAGGCCGTTTTTTAAGAGAAATGTTTACTTTTCAGCATTTTCTTATATTATTTTTTGTATTTGTTACTTTCCATGGATTTTATATAATTTTAACTAAGTTTATTAATTTATTATTTAAGTCATTTTGTGGTCCCTCCATTTCCTCGCGCTCGAGACTAACACTTAAATTTTGGCTTATTTTTCTTTTTTTTTTTTCGTGCGGCAAAAGTGCTCTTTAATAAGCTGTTGCGCTGTTTACTTCTCAGTCTTTATAAATATTTCAAGTACTTAACTAAATAATCAAACGTTATGTTGTTCTTTCTTCTTTTTGCAGACAACGAATTATATTCAGGCACTGTGGCCGATTTCAGCGGCAGTGATCCGATTATCTATCGTGAGCCTCTGCAGACGGAACAATATGATAGCCTCAGTCTCAATGGTAAGTTGTTTACATCATCCCCATCCGACTCTCCAATGGCAGCCCCACCGGCTGCCATTCCCATCTTTAACAGCTTTCCCAACAAGCACTCCTGGTAATTGAAAATGTCCGCTCTGTTATGATTATTATTGTGCCTCTGTGCGCTCAGTATTAGCGAAATGCTGGCCACTTGAATTGAATTAAGTCTGATTGTGCTTCTGTGAGTTTCTCGCTGCTGTTCGATGTATTTCAATGTCCTGCAACAGGGACAGCAACGTCATATTGCGTGTGGTTGCCTTTTGCATATTTCAAGTGTTCGCCGCTTCGATTTTCATATGACAGACTTCCATTAACCGAATAGACGTGACAGCTTTGACTGACCGCCTGTTGGCTGTCCTTTACTATTTTCAGACGTCCACTCGTCCCCTTGCGTTCTGCACGTACTGAATATTTTATGCAGCTTTGCATTGCAAGTAAACCGAACAAAAAGCTACTAAAGTCATGATGCATATGCGTAACAGCTCAGGGAAAAATATTTGGAGCCTCTTAAAAGGTGTTAACCATGTGTTAACCAAAAAATGTGGTTAAAAATGATTAAAATCAATAACGAAGGCTATTTAAAAGTTCAGTCATATATATATATATTATATTATATTATTATATTATTTTTGTTTAAGATTCATTCTATAAAAATTTAAATATGTATGAAATATGTATATTTGCATTTAGACATAACTTTTAAAATTAGTTCATGCTTTAATTTCCTCGTGCATTTTAATATTAAATTTTATGATGTTATCATATTTCATTATTTTTACAAATCCATGCCAAATCATATTAAATTACAGCACACATTTAACTTTATGCATCATGTTCTACTCATCAATTTAATGCCCAAAAACTGGCGCTGCCATTCGATTGTTCTGCCATCGGCACGAGTCGCACATAAATCCCATGATGATTTTGACTATAAAATGTTTACAGCCGAAACTATAAATGCAATTTATGACTAAACTTTCTTGAAGCTCATTTTCTCATTCTGACTTTTGTTTTGTGACCTTTCTCTCATTCGCAGCGCCAAATTTTGTGAGCTCATTTACTCAGGGAGATTTCGTGTATTTCTTCTTTCGGGAGACGGCGGTGGAATTCATCAACTGTGGCAAGGTGAGTGCAACGAATAGAACGTGAATATATAAATTCAACTAGGCTGGCAAAACCCAAAATTAATTTCTATCCACAACAAATGTGGATATAATTGGACGGATTAAACAAGGCAGGAGGTGCGAGCACAAGAGCGGAAGTGACTCTATCGCCGCCATGTTGGGCGGCCATTTTGCTTGTGTTTGCTTTATGCGTGCACACTTCCGGCTCGGGCTCGGGCTCGTGCTCGTGCTCGCGCTTGGGCTTTGGCTTTGGCTTTGGTCCAACGGCCAAATACAGTTATCGGTTTTGGATTTTGCCGGCTATTTGTTTATGGGCAACGTTTGTTGGTTTTCTATTGGAATGCGACCACATCAATGGGCCGATTTACTACATTTCCATTCTCCAGCTTGTCCAGCATGTATTAATATTTATCTTTTCGGCAATTTCAGGCGATTTATTCGCGCGTCGCACGCGTCTGCAAATGGGATAAGGGCGGCCCGCATCGTTTCCGCAACCGCTGGACCTCGTTCCTTAAGTCCCGCCTGAATTGCTCCATACCGGGCGACTATCCGTTCTACTTTAATGAGATACGTAAGTGGCCGGGCTAGCTTTGAATTTGATTCACATAATATTGTGTATATATCTGTTGCCCACAGAATCGGCCAGCAATCTCGTCGAGGGACAGTACGGCTCCATGAGCTCCAAATTGATTTATGGCGTTTTTAATACGCCAACAAATTCAATTCCCGGCTCAGCGGTTTGTGCTTTCGCCTTGCAGGTGAGTGCACAATTACGATTTACCTTCCCCATGGCCAGCTTTTAACTTGTGTATTTCTCCCTTCCTCTCTCTTTCTCTCTTGCATCTCAATTTTGTAATCCGCAGGACATCGCCGACACATTCGAGGGACAGTTCAAGGAGCAGAGCGGCATCAACTCCAACTGGCTGCCAGTGAATAATGCCAAGGTGCGTTTCACTATTTCAGATGCCAATATATAATATATATATATTTATATATATATATATATATATATATATATATATATATATATATATATATATACATAAGTTTGTGTGTGTGGTTTGGTTAATGCTCACTTTCACGTTGGGAACGGGAGAGCAGTTGAACGCAGCTGTTTCAGAATTTATTGCCACACAAATTTGTCCAGCATTGGCGAAAGAAAGTACTTTTCCTTTGCCAAAAATTTGCATTTGAATTACGAATGGATTTCCCAAAAGCGAACCAGATGACTGAACATACTGCTAACGGTTTGGCCAAATGGAAGCTCTCTGTCTAGAGAGCGCACAATTTGCGGTTCAAGGAAAGCCAAATTAGAAATTGAAGATCTTTGAAATTCGAAACAATTGCCATACTTTGAAATGCATAAAACTTTTAATATAACACTTAAAGTGCATTTGGCACAGTCTGTTGCCGCCTTTCGACCTGCCAGAAAGCTTCAAATTTGCATGGAATTTAAACATAACTTTTGTGTGTGTGTGTTTAAATTAATAGAATAAGAAAAATTCAGAACAAACTTAAATATTCGCTTAGTCAGCTCTTTTTGAGGCATTCTGTATTCTCTCATTTTATAAACTGCCAAAGAATTTCCACCGATTGCCTATCACTATAAATCCTTCAGGTTTTAGTTCGCTTAGTTAGCTATTTTCAATATGGAAGACATATAGGTATTTTCCCAGACTTATAAAAGATGTCCCATCTATAATAATAGAAGTCCTATCATGTGCAATTGAGCATATTTATGAAAGCTCAAAACATTTTGAGGGTTTTTTACTTTAACAAATGTAATAAAATGCATACTATTTAATTTGAATTTGAGTGTAGTATAGCTGTGGATGTAGAGAATCTGCTGAGTGGAGTCAAATATTGCATTGCACAAGGCAAAGCGCTTTTTCTCAGACCGACAAAGTTTATATCCTTATAAAAGAGATGCTCGCCTGAATGCTGACTTAATAATTTCCACACAACACACACGAATCAGCCAAGTCAACATCTGAGCGTGCATTTTCCGCTGGCGATTCATAAACCAAATCATTGCCAAAACAGAAAACTCAGTATCACACACACACACACACACTCACACACGCGCGCGCACAAAGGACACTTTCCGGCGGGTCTTTGTCCGTCTGCACTTGGCCGTGCTGCGCAATTTCCGGAACGTTGTGTACGGGTATTTGTTACGAGCAACGCGAGCGCCGCAAATGCAATTTATACGTTCCTTTTTGTGGCAAGCAAAGTGAACGAAGGCGAGTGGGCGCTGGAGAGGAAGGCAACTGACCGAGCATAACCATAACCACATTGCAGTCATATGCGGGATACTAATAATTTATATATGTATATGTCTCTATCTTGTTGTCGTCGTCTTTTGTAGGTGCCCGAGCCGCGCCCTGGCGCCTGCCACAATGATTCACGAACGCTGCCGGATCCCACATTAAATTTCATCAAAACACATTCGCTAATGGACGAGAATGTTCCGGCATTTTTCGGTCAACCGATTTTGGTGCGGACGAGCACAATGTAAGTACCAGCCCCCTCCACTACATATATGTAACTCCCCCTCTATCAGTTCGCTTTCTTTTTGCTTCAAGAGGCACGTCACATAGTTGCCCAAAAGCTACAATCCCGAATAATGCTGCGGCAATGTAAATATTATTGCACGACGCCAAAGCCAGAGTCAAAACTATGCGCTTATAACTAGTAGGAACGAGGGGGTGGCACCGCTTGGGAGCGGGCGGAGACATGAATTCCGTATGTGGATTGTAAAAACTTTAGCTGCAGTTGCAGTTGCAGCTGCATCTGCGACTGCCACAGCCACTTCTCTTGCGGATGTAGCCAAGTGAATACGTGACGAACCAATTTCAGTGCTCCGCAATCCAACTAATTTCATTTAAATAACAAATTCCTCGCCATCTGATATGGCACAACTTTTCGAATGCAGCTGTCGTAATCGCGGGTGCTGTAAAACATATTAAATATACCCATTCTAGCCATATGGGTATAAAGTCGAAAGTCGAATGGGTGTAACATTTTAGTGCGAAATATGTTTCAAAAATTTCAGCCAATTTGATTTTCGCATTATTATACTAGTTCCAGCTTGATTTGGCCTGAACAAAATTCTATATTAATTTGTTTGATCCCTTTTTTATTTTATTTGAAGCCTCATATAAAATATTCAAAAATTTAAAAATTAGCAAACAAAACTTGCATTCATAATGTGAGTTATAAAAATTTAAAAGTTTTATTTTCCATATTATTTGTTATATTGTTGCTCAGATAATAACTATAAATATTTGTAAAATGAACTCTGACAGCTTTATCTCTGTCTTTCAATATCGTATGAATAAAATTGTAAATCATAAATTAGACCACTTTCTATTTAGTTCCCTCCATATGCTAGAAACGTAGCTTCAATTCACATATTTCTGTGACTAAACTTTTTGTGATTGAGTCTGCCTTAAAAATCAATATTGAATTTAAAAAGAATTTGAATTGAGTTTTCACAGCTTGTTTTCAACTTATTCTGCTGCCCTTTCAATTTAATTTATAAAAAAAAGCATTAAAAGTCGGAATATGGAATATTGTATGTACTTGTGCTGTTTGTGCCGCAAAGAAATGAATTTCCTACACAAGTGAATAAAATATATACACACGCACACACACACACACACACACACACACACACACACACACACATTGTGCGGTTGCTTAAAGCGAGAGGCCAACCTGCTGTTAACAAACAGGCTGATGCTTTTGGCCGGAGCAGCTGAAATGTTGCAGGACGATCCTGCAGCTGGTCCAAGTCCTGGGCTTGGGCTTGGGCTTTTCTGCATGCTCATAAATTATTTTCAAGACTCTCTTTCAGACATGTGGAAATTTAAAAATTCAATTTGGCAACTTTTCCATGTAATTGAGCCACAATTACGGGCTGTTGAGGCGGGGTACGGTAAACTTTAAAGAGTAAATCATATGCAAGCCACTGAGCAGAGCCAAGCGGTAGTTCCGAAAGCGAGATGCGGCTGGTGGTGGCGGTGGTGCCGAGGGCACCTGCTGCGGCTGCTGCTGATGTTGCTGCAGTCAAGCGATAGTTTGAACCAAACGAACCGAGCCAGCCAGAAGGAAATGCATGGATGCGCCGAGGCAACCCGTAACGAAAATATGTATGCACAACTGAATAAATTAGAATGAAATATGGAACACGTAGGACCGGAACAGCGGAGACTGCACTCCTCCTATCCAAAACGCCCGTGCACACACTCGAATCAATCCCTATCCACCCAACCGGTTCTTTGTCGAGCCACACACACATGAGCAGACCACAACAAATGCAAGTGCGGGCGAGTGGCATTAGCGAAGTGGTTGCACGGCTCGCATCCGCGGGTGTTGCGGGGGCAACGTGTTCGTTTTGGCCACTTACTCGCACTGCAACTGACTCATTGTGCTTATGGCTAGAGCCCCACAACAAGCAGGATGCGAGAGGACACGCATCAGAATTTAATCATGCCCAATGCAATTGAAAAGCTCAAAAGTTACCATAGAATCTGCGCACACATTTATACGGCGACCCAATTGCTCTTTTGGCCAGTCACAACGCGTAGCTCGGTCATGCACAAATGCAGTTTTCAGTCACAGATATTACTGCTACTGCAGCAGCAGCTGCTGCTGCTGCAACTGCTTCAACTGCAGTTACAGTTGCTGTTGCCAGAAATAAGTCGCACAGTTGAAAAAGTCCGCTACTCTTTTGGCTGGTTTCCATTTAACCGCATGAATCACAGTTAAAGATGATGACAGCCACAGCTGAACTAACAAGTTACCCAACATATAATTTAAGTTATCGGCTCATCAAGATTTAACTGATATAATTTAAACTCATGACATACTATGCTCGCAAGAATAATTTGTATATAATTGTTTATATATTAAAGTGCTTACTTAATGCCAGCTCTTTACAATTAAGTCGATTAACTTGTACTCAATTAAATCCGATTTTTATATTGATGAATCCCACTTCAATCATCAAATAAACGAACCAAAATGTTAGCATGTTACATTCTGTCCGATAACAGTGTTATGTCAAATCATGTAACCTCTGTATACCTCTGACAACATTAACGTGAGTTTATAATCTTTTCATTTCACATTCAATACAATGTTAAATTGCTAATCAGAGTCTTTACTGTTGAATTAATATGGGAATTAACTTAACAGTCTTTGACATTCAACTTAACACATTTTTTGACAGTTCCTTAAAGCCTTGTTAACGCGGTTAAAGCTCTTTAGCCGAAAGCGAGTTTGTTGCTTAAATATTATTCATTTAAATTCAAGCAATGCATAACTTACACAAGTGTTAAGGAAGACCACAAACTGACCAATTTAATGAAAACGAGAACAGGAAGCATTTCGAATTGGACTTGAATTGGGTCAGGGCTGGAGGATGGGAATCCGATGGTATTTCTGTTTTTGGCATTATTGAACACAAATGCCAAAATCAAATCAAAAATTCACAAAATTTATGGCGTTGGGCTGAAGCATAAATTTATTATAATTTTATTTGAGCAAAGCGTTTCGGGTACAGCTCTGCCAGGGCCACAGTGCGTATGTGTGTGCTGTGTGCGAATAAATAAATCACAGAATGGGACTAAAGATGAGGTGGAGCCACTTGCTCGCACACACACACACACACACATACACAGAGCGGCCAGACACCGCAGGATACTCATTTGAATATGCCAGGGGGCGACAAGTGGCTGATAGCTGGGTTGGCGGAGCTGCCAGCGCCAGCAAAGTTTCTTATAAGTTGAAAGTTTTAGCATCTCCGCAAAAGTTAAATGCTTCAAGTTGCAAGTCGCTGGGGTCACCGGCTCTGTAACAAATTGTTTCCTGGTCGACCCGGAAGTATCCGTACTCGACAGATTTCTGCCAGCTGGTTGACCATATCCTGGCTCTCCTCTTGGCCTGCCAGTACCAGTACCCGTACACGTACCCGTTCCTAGCTAGTGTCATATCCAAGGTGCCAGCCACAATTCTGTTATGTGCGCTTATCTTATCGGTCAAGTTTTTATACCTCTGCCACTTTTACTGTCATGGCCTTTATCATGCATGTCCTTGTCCTCCGGCTGCGGCTCACTCACTGACTCCAGCTCCAGCTTCAGCTACCCCTCCTGCTTCAGATAAAGCTTTGGCTCTGACGCTGGCTGCCTTACTAATTTCATTCCATATAGCATGGAGTTAACTTCCACTTGTGACCCTCATCGCTGTTGCTGTTGTTGTCAGCATCGCCGGGTCTAAGCTCATCGGAGCGTCACAAAAGTTGGCAAAAATTGTGCAAGTTTCAATTGCCAGCTGCTCGGACTTGGACTCGAACCCGAACCTGCCTCTCTAAAAATGTCCTTTACTTTTCTTTCCATTTTTGATTATTTATTTTTTCTTTTCTTATTTTTTATTTTGTTAATGTGTCTTTATTCTATTGTTGTTGTTTCGTGCTGGCGTGGCCTTTGCCTTTTTTTAATTTTCGGCCAACAAAGTTTTTGGCAGCACTTTTGCATTACCATTCACTGGGATTTGCCACTCCAGCCCAATGCTGCGTCCATTGGTTTGTTTCTGCTTTGGATTCATTTCATTTCTTTTGGCTGCTTTTGTTGCGTTGGGAATTAATTTATAAGCCGCCGCAACTTTGCTTTCAACTCACATTGCATTAAATATTTTATTTATCGTCGTTTCCTAAAATTTGTGACCATAATTGAAGACTTTCCCAGGCTACAAAAACAATTCACATAACACATTCCTTTTAAATGGTCAATTTTTAGTAGAATGTTTCCTTTTAGATTGTCAGCATAAAATCATTTTAAATATAACTTTAAATATTTATCGCATAACTAATCCAATTTAATACCATCAACTGCAAAAACAAATTTTGCATTTAATTCCAAGGAATTTTAATCAGTTTGCCAACAGGAAGTTTATCATTCATTATCTGCACAACTTACGGCTCTACTAATTATATAGTTTATACCACAATGATCGATATGTGGCTCAGTTGAATTCATTCAACTCTTAACAGCTCGATTTGTGAATGACTGTTATGAAAATTATATAGGTGGCGATTTCTGCTCGTAAAATTCAATAAAATGAGGCGTTTATTCGTGTACAGCTTGAAATAATATATGAAGATACTTAAATTAAAAATAAAACATCTGATATAAACATATTTCTTACTTAATTTCTAAAGCATAGATTATAATAATAATCATTTTCAAATTGAAATCAATATTAAAAAAGTAACTATCGAATTCCGAAGTTATCGATTGTTACAAACATCTAGAGTTTTGCAGCACTGGTGTTTGTATACTGAAACAATTGGAATTACCATAAATGCAAACATTATATTTTGCCGCTACGATGTATTTTACAATCAAGGCCTAAAGATACATTTGCCACACAATGGTGAACTTTTTCAATTTTGGTTTAAACTCTTGCCCTATCTGGCCCAGAGCAAACATTAGTATATTCCCAAATCTCAGCTGCACATACTGTTGCGCACATTTCAACAGGGCAACCGCAACAGTCATCACAAAATAGAAGCCATTTAAGCCAGCAGTTGCTCGTTGCCGGACAAGCCAAAAAGCGATGCAATTCTTTGGCCATTTAGAAAATTGAGCAACATAACTAAAACTCAAAAACGAGATTTGTTAATTAACAATAAAACAATGCACAATGCCAAACGGGCTCCGTCCAGCAGGAGCCATTTGCTGTTCTGGCTGTTGTTGCTTCTGTTGCTGTTGCTGTTGCTGGTTCTGGTCCTGCTGCTGCTGCTGTTGTTGATGCTGCTGTCCATGGCGAGCATTTGCATTTAAATCGAGCCAGCAACTCACACAAATACATAAAACAGTTGCACAAAAACCAACATGGAAGCAACAATAGACAAGGCAGCCAAGCGCACAGCCACAAATGTTGCCTGCAACAAGGACAACTGCAACAACAACAGCAGCAACAGCAGCAACAGCAGCAGCAGAGGCGCTAACGTTCAACATTTTTGTGGTGAAATCAGAGAGAAATTTCCGTTTTTATTTCATGTCTTTTATTGTTGTTTGCTCGAATATGTTTTTACATATAAATACAAACACATTGTTGCTGCTTTAGTTGTTGTTGTTGTTGTTGTTGCTGCTGCCGCTGCTTCTGGGTGTATGTTGTTGCTGCTGTCGCAGTCGTTGCTACCGCTGTTGTGGTTTTCAGTCATTCTGTTTGTCATTCTCACCATTGCTACGGCAGCTTTCTGCCCCATCTCCCTGACCCAACTCGCTGTCCCGCTCCGCTAGCTGCGACCATTTCGTTGTCCATCCTTTATTAATGGTGTCTAACCGAAAACCAGCCGCCTATCCAAAATGTCCTGTTGTGTCATTCGGCTGGCAGCATTGACATGTTGTTTGTGGTTCCAATTTCGAACATACGACTCCAAGCTTGGTTAGGTACACTGTTAAATAACACTAGGCGACACTATTTTACAATCCAAACAGGCATCAAACAGGCATCTTATAACGAATTATTTCCACATTTCTATTCCATTTTATTAACAATTATATTTTATTATTCTCTATAACTAACTTTTTTTATTTTTATTTCTCTTAACTCATTTACAGTTATCGCTTCACACAAATTGCGGTAGATGCACAGATCAAAACTCCCGGCGGCAAGACATATGATGTGATTTTCGTTGGCACAGGTGAGTCGCATTTGGCATGGACAGTTGAAGGGTCCCCGGGGCCGATTGCCCTGACACCGATTGTCTTTATGGTTCATATCACTGACCGATGCGCCCCGTGGACCCAATCAAAACGTGAATACCCTGCGCGTGAACGATGTCAGGGTATATTAGAGTAGATTACACAAGGGTGGTTTATCAGCATGCTGAATTCTTGCTAGTTGCGGAATTCACATTTTATATGTTTTGAAAATGGTCATTTTTATTAATTCCTATAATTTGAGTCCATTTAGAATAATTAATCATCAAATAACGTTTCTATAACAAACTTGTCTAAACTTAATTTAGAATTCCAGCTTGTGACTTTTGTCAATCTATTAAACGACGATTGGTTGATAGGTTTATAGAAAACTAGCTCCAGTTAAGTCGCGCAATTTACAAAAATAACCATTTAGACAGAATTATACATGGCTGTACTTTTCAATGAATTAATATACGACAAAATAAGACTCTAAAACAAAATAGTATTGAGCGTAGCCTTAAATTTAATTTTCGTTTCTGCTTCATTCAACCAGATCATGGTAAAATCATTAAGTCCGTAAATGCCGAATCAGCGGACTCTGCGGAAAAGGTCACATCGGTAGTCATCGAGGAGATCGATGTGCTGCCCAAAAGTGAGCCCATACGCAATTTGGAAATTGTGCGAACCATGCAATACGGTAAGTGGAACTGTAGACCCATTGAATCAGACTCAATTAAAAGGAAACGTGTAACGAGCTTTCATTGTAAAACGAATTCCCCAATCCTTGATACGCAGATCAACCGAAAGATGGCAGCTACGACGATGGCAAATTAATCATTGTCACGGATAGTCAAGTGATAGCCATACAACTGCATCGATGCCACAACGACAAAATCACCAGCTGCAGGTAAGCGACACACCTGAACAATATGGGGAACAGATTGGTCAGACAGCAGAATATCAGCAAGAACAATGACATTTTTATTTCATGTAACACTTTGCGTGACTTTCATGCCTCGGCTGTCAGACTGGCAACCAGTGAATAAGAGAGAGGGAGAGAGAGATAGAGGGAATGTGAGAGAGGGGTAGATTCTCCAGCTCTTTCTCTCATCTATAGCTCACATTGCCATTTGTCTGTCTGGGTTCTGCTGTTGCAGCTGCTGCTGCAGCACTTTATGCGCATTTATGGAGTTTTACATTTCACAATTTGCAGTATGTTTACACCATTGCCTCTTAACCCCCCTGCTTCTCTGCTTCTCCTTTACAGCGAATGCGTCGCATTGCAGGATCCATATTGCGCCTGGGACAAAATTGCTGGCAAGTGTCGCTCCCATGGCGCGCCACGTTGGCTGGAGGAGAACTATTTCTACCAGAATGTGGCCACCGGTCAGCATGCGGCCTGCCCCTCAGGTGAGTTAAATGCCAGCAGATGTAGCTGTAGCTGCAGCTGTCAGTGCAACAGCTTCAACTACATTAAACTATCCTTGTCTTCAGGCAAAATCAATTCAAAGGATGCCAATGTGGGTGAGCAGAAGGGCTTCCGCAACGACATGGATTTGCTGGATTCGCGTCGTCAGAGCAAAGATCAGGAAATCATAGACAATATTGATAAGAACTTTGAAGGTAAGGCACAAAATCAGGGTTTCCCCTAACATATTGTAGTTCATTTGCTTGGCATGTGCTGTTTTATATCATCTTTAACAGCTTGATTTACCCATAGCATAGAATAAATACATATATGTGCGCATATTTACCAGTCTGTTGTCATTTTTTAAATCACATTTTCATTTCATTCTTTTTTTCTTTTTGCACGCCAGGTGCTTACCTGGCTGCCTGAATGCCATTTCGCCCCCACCCTCATTACGCTCCCTGCTCCCTCCTAGTTTGCATATTGCCACTTTATGCTTTTCAATTTCAATCAACATTTACCCTGCACTTTATTCTAGTTGCTTTATTATCGTCATCTTGAATGTAGCTGCACAGTAAACGTATTTTCATTTTTGTTTTTATTGCATTTTCCCCCCACTTAAATACCCTGCCTTAAACTCTTCTGCTATACAATTCTTCATAAAACAACTTTTGTATTATTGTGTATTTATTGTGTTATTCAAAACGAGCTGTTTACATTTGGGAAGCTTATAAGATTTGACCAATTCACCAATACCTAACTATATTATATCGATAACGCATAATTAAATAAGTATGTGTAGAGCTGATTTTCTTTAGTCGGATTAGACTAACCTAATTCATTATATTTATGAATTGAGAAAATTATCTTTAAATCTAAAAGTAGAATAAAAATAATATATTTATATATATACAAGAATAATGTTGCCAGACCAAGTTATGTGTGTGTGCGCATTGGCCTTTATGTGTTAGTGTATGCACGCATGTATTTATGCATTTATGTATGCATGCACGGTTGTTTTCTAATACCAAACGCAGACCAAGCTTATTTATCCCTGATGCGAGCTTTTTCCGATTTATTTCAAACTTATTTTCAAAGCTCTACAAAAAAGTTAACGAAAACATATATATTTATTATGTAAATTTTTTATATACCTCGTGAGTACCTTTTATCCCGGGAAATTTATTTTATTTTTTTTTTTAATTTTAGATTTCATAACCCTTACTTTTAGCCCAATATAAATATAGTTGCATGACATCATATATATTCATTTTTATATTTTTTCTATTACACATTTTTAAATTAATATTTTGCATCATTATCATTGATTATTAATTGAATAGATACTCATCTATATATGTATTTGAAGAATTTGGTGTTGTACCTTGTATTAACTCGTTTTTTCTTCTTCTTGTTCTTCTTGTTTCATTTCAATTATTGATGTTTCAACATTTTGCCACATTTGGTTATAAAAAAAACGCGCCAATTTGGGCGTTATTCGTTGTATTTCGATGTTTGGATGTTTATTGATGTGGTTACAAAACGGATTCTATATGTACACGTAATCCTTCTTGCAAATATGACCCTGACACACAAAAAAAACAACATATATATACTCGTTGTGGCTCGATGTGCTAATTCGGTGAAAACTCAAAATTGTATCGTAATATAATAAAATTGATAAATATAATTGGTTCATATTCCGCCGATAACTATGTACATTCACTAATCGAAGGTCCCCAAATCTCTGCAGATATTATCAATGCGCAATATACAGTGGAAACTCTGGTAATGGCCGTGCTGGCCGGTTCGATATTCTCGCTGCTGGTGGGCTTCTTTACGGGCTACTTCTGTGGACGGCGTTGTCACAAGGATGAAGATGACAATCTGCCGTATCCGGATACGGAATATGAATACTTTGAGCAGCGTCAAAATGTGAACAGGTGAGTACCCAAAAAAGCAATTCTTAGCTATAGCTATAATTTGACGTTCTTTTTGTCGTATAGCTTTCCATCGTCGTGCCGCATACAGCAGGAACCAAAGCTGCTGCCCCAGGTGGAGGAGGTGACGTATGCGGAACCGGTGCTGCTGCCACAGCCGCCGCCCCAAAACAAGATGCACTCGCCAAAGAATACACTGCGCAAGCCACCCATGCACCAGATGCACCAGGGTCCCAACTCGGAGACGCTTTTCCAGTTCCAACCGGACGGTTACAATACCCAGCAAACATATCGCGGACGCGACAACTTCGGCACGTTGCGCTCGCATCAAGTGATGGTGAGTCACACATCCAATGAGATGCCGGGCCCAAATTTCCAGCACATAGACTAATCCCTTTTACTTTGCAGGGCGACAACTATAGACGCGGCGATGGCTTTTCAACCACTCGCAGCGTCAAGAAGGTGAGTTTGCCATTCGTAGTGCCTGTTGTAAGCGTTTTACTTACAATTTTGATTTGATTTTTATTTTCATTGTATACTGATCTCTAATCTCTAATCGTATCCATTGAGCTCTTTTTGATGTTGTTGACATTTTGACATTTAGTATATACTTAAACGAATCCTTGTGGTGCGCTTGTATTTGATTGAACTCTCACTCAATCGTCGATTGGTGTATTTCTTAGACTCACTTTTCAACTTGTTGTGCGTGTCTCCATCTCTCTGTATCTGTCTGTGTGCATCTGTGTGTGTGTGTGTGTGTAACATATGTGTGCCTATCCACTTATCTATATGTATCTACGTATCTGTGTACTTTAGAACTTAAATCATGCTCACTCTTTGGAATAAGCGTCTCACAACAACACATCAGCTGCCATTTTGCAGTCACTCTGTAAATTTTATTTTTATTTTTAATTCTTGCATTGCATTTCAATAACTCACATACTAGCTGCATGTTCTGTAAGTATTTTATATGTCGATTTATTCAGTTAAATTATATTGATTTTCAATTATTAGCTTCCCATGCTTCATTATACTAATATGCATTCATTATGGTAACATCATTATACATTATACTAATAATGATTTTTGTCAAATATTCAAAATATAATCTTGTGCAAAATATTTTTACACCATATTAACAAATTTAAATTACCCAAAAACAATTTAGTACGTTTTTTAAGCCAATAATTTGTCTAATTTAAATCTTAAATACATGCTTATAAGTTTGTAAAAATACATAGAAAAAAAATTAATAGTTTATATATATATAATTTATAATTTAAAGTTTCTATAATTTTGGCCCCCTTTTCTTGAGGTTTAATTTTGCTGAACTCTATTTAATTAATACTTAATTAAACTTAATTTTTAAGTGTCTCAGTCATTCGCAAGCATAAAACATTCGTATATGCAACTCAATCATATAGCCAATATTTATATTTATCCATAAATATATGTTTCGTATCTACACGTGTATATCTAACCCGGTTCAAGGCCATCGTCCATTTGCATGTCCATGAACATATGATAATTCTCTCCATGTATATATACATACATATAAGTCATGTACATTAATCCATAATTCTGATTCTGAAATTAATTACATTTGTCTGGGGTTTGTTTATTGTAAGTTTTGTTCGCTGACGTTTTAGAAATACACCAATCTTTCGAAATGGGCGATTGCGAATCTTTGCAGGCGTCTCTCTAAGCATTTTGTATAGTTGAATCTTTGCAATTTCCGCTCTAAGCCATCTTTACTCTTACTAACCTCTATTGCTGAACTTCTTTTCACATACATACATACATACATACACCGAACACTTACACTATCGTGATGATTGCCGATCAACTGTCAAATGTGGACAACACCAAGCAACCGAAATACCAAAACTCTATCTATCTTTTCTTCTTCTTCCCTTTTTCATTAGGTTTACCTTTGAGACGGGAGTGGGGCGGCTGAAACCAGTCAGGGACTAATTACCCAAAATATGGTAAATACTTACGCATAACTAAAGCAAATTTAGTTAATTTGTTTTCATTATTTTCATTTTGTTTGTTTATTTTTTTGTTACAAATTTTTATTTGATTTTTTTTATTTGATTATTTATTGATACGGCTGACAAAATTTGCTCAAAAGCTGCAGTGCGGATACCCTCGATTGAGAGATCAACTGAAATTCTGAAACTGAAAATCTTCTCTTACTATTATACATACACCCAGCACAGTTTGATCGAAGTTTCATTTATCTCACGAGTAAACTGTAAATTACGTTATGGAATGCCATTTTTGATTTTGTGTACTTATGAAAGAACAGACCGTAAACAATTATATCGAAATTATACTCAACTAATCTCAGACAAAAATTCTTAATCAGTCCAAAGACATCGTCCAGTCTGTCAGCCAGCCCGCGCCCAACTCGACGATTTATTGCCATTTGCCAGCGGAAGGGTTGCAATTTTTGTGTAATCGCTTATTGCACATCGATTCTTTTTCGATTATCGATTTATTGTGTGAGTGAGTCTCTGCGTAAATGAGCTGTGTGTGCTTGCATCTCTTTGTAAACCCAATCCTCATACACACTCGCATAGGTTGGCAACTCTTGAACTCTTCTTCTGCATGGGCGTCCAGCACTTTGCGCATTAGTGATACACACCCGAACCCTTGATCCAAACGATAAACCCATTAGCCAAAGAATGTGTGTGCATTTGAACCTAGATACTTACATACAGTATGTCAATAAAGTGTTTTTACTAACAAAAAAAAACTAATTTTTTGGGTTTAGTTGAAAATAAATGTACCTAAAAGTGAGAATTTTTTTTCAATTATAATTTATTTCGATTCTATATTTCTCCTAGAACTTAATGGCAAAAAGAATTGTTAAATAACATTACCCAAACATTTTATAAAATTAAAAAACTAAAAACATTCACATTTTATGCTGTCAATAAAGTGTTTTTACAGCTACGGTAAATTGTTTTGCCGTTCTCTTTTGGGTGATCCCGTTAGATTTGGGCCCATGCGTTTTGGCTTCTCTTGTGTCTTCGACTTTTCTTGTCATTTTCTATTGCAATTTATAACGTTTTGCTTTAATTTTATGAAAAATAAAATGCCAGGAAAAAGAACAACTTTTGAAGTCGCTCAGCTGGTGTATTATAACCATCAGATGGGACGTCAAGTCTCGGAACTGGCTGATATGTTTAATTTATCAAAAGCAACGATATACAACATATTAAACAGAGCCAATAAGGAAGATAGGCTAGAGGCAAAGCCAGTATGTGGTCGACCCTGCAAAATTTCTGACAGAGATAAGCGAAAAATTCTGAGAAAAATTGAGAAAAATCCACAAATTTCGCTTAGGGATATTGCTCAGGAGTTCAAGGAAGAAAGTGGTGTTGATGTGTCACATGAAACTGTCCGAAAATTACTGAATTCCAATGACTACACATCACGAGTTGCCAGGAAAAAACCTCTACTATCGGCGGCGAATATTTTGAAGCGGCTATCGTTCGCTCAAGTCCATGTAAATAGTTCGAACGATTTTTGGAGTAACGTCATATTCTGTGACGAAAGCAAGATGATGCTATTCTACAACGATGGGCCATCCAGAGTCTGGAGAAAGCCACTAACAGCGTTGGAAAACCGCAATATTATTCCAACCGTTAAATTCGGAAAACTATCAGTGATGGTGTGGGGGTGTATTTCGAGCAAGGGTGTAGGAGATTTGACCTTCATTGAGAATACCATGGATGCTAGACAATATCTGAGCATTTTACAGACACATCTCGTCAGTAGTGCACAGAAATTTGGATTCTATGAGGACAATAAGCCAATTTTTAAATTTTACCAGGACAATGACCCGAAGCATAAAGCTCATATGGTAAGAGTTTGGCTGTTGTACAACTGTGGAAAGGTGTTAGACACTCCACCACAAAGTCCAGATATGAATCCAATAGAAAATGTGTGGTCATATTTGAAAAAAAAAGTCGCAAAGCGGAGTCCAAAATCAAAAACTGATTTAAAAGCTGCTGTACTGGAAGAATGGCAGAAGATTCCAGAAACATACATACAAAACCTTATTGTTTCAATGAAACGGCGATTGCAGGCTGTATGTGACGCTAATGGCAGCCACACAAAGTATTAAAAAAAAATATTCCTGTTTTTTTAACATTGTTATTTAGTAATAAAGTTTCGTGTAAAAACACTTTATTGACAGCATAAAATTTGAATGTTTTTAGTTTTTTAATTTTATAAAATGTTTGGGTAATGTTATTTAACAATTCTTTTTGCCATTAAGTTCTAGGAAAAATATAGAATCGAAATAAATTAGAATTGAAAAAAAATTCTCACTTTTAGGTACATTTATTTTCAACTAAACCCAAAAAATTAGTTTTTTTTCGTTAGTCAAAACACTTTATTGACATACTGTATATCCACAATATGATTATGATAAATGTACTTGTAATTATTCTAATATACTACCTAATAATACTACCCACAAAGAAACGTAATACTTATTTGTAATGCTATTCAATTTTCAGTTTATTGCTTGCTAATTACAATTACATAAGAACGTGCTTAGGCTCTTCGTTAAATAAGACACTTAAATAAATAAACTTAAAGTTAAAGATCTGAATTTCTAAATTTATAGAATATTTATCATTTATGACAATAATTTCAAATGCCACCCACGCTAATACAGAGCTGGGCTGAGCCGATATAAGAACTGAATATTGGACCTGAAATGCTCGATCCAAGTAGTTTGATTCCGTTCTTCAAAGCTTTTACTTTTGTTTTGTTTGTTAACCCAATCAGAGCCAAATTTAATTGAAAGAAATTTTTTAGTTTTAAATCATTTTATATTTCTCTAAATATACAAGTACAGTAAAGTCTTTGCAGTTTTCGTTTATAAGAATTTAATAGAAAAGAAAAGAAAATATAAAAAAAATTATATCACCAATCCTAGGCTGTAAACAACACAAACACACGAAACAGAAGTCTTGGTCGAGCAAGAAGACAGCCGCCCCGTCATGGTATTGGTAAGTTTTTCTGTTCCATTCAGTGATTTGAGCCTTCGGTTGATATTTATTAATTGTAAATGACACATACAAACACGCATACACACACAAAACCAATCCAGTTTATTAAAATTTCAATTGAATTGTTCCCCCACGATCTCAAAGTCTCTCTGTGTCTCTTTCTCTCTTTGTCTCTCTCTCTCTCTCTATGTGTTTGCCCTCTTTCTCTATGTATTTGATATATATTCGATCAAAGTAAACAAAATCGTGTTTATTTTTAGTTGGTATACAAATTGGAATACATTACTTTGAGAATATATTATATATTTTTTTGATAATAGTTTTATTTGTTGGGACACATTTGATTACATTTTTCATTTTGATCCAGTGTTTACAAATTTATAGTTATTTAAAATCGAACTTGATCAAAAATAAAATATTTATATTTATATTTTAATTAATTATTCATAATATAATAAATATTCCAACATAATTTTGTATACCACAACATTTTGACAATTGCAGAATATAAACTTAATAGTAAAAATTCTATCTAAAAACTAATTTTGAAAAATCGATGAAGCCTAAAATAAATATATATTCATTAATTTCCTTTTAAATATTTATTTATTTATATATTTATTTTGTTTATGATATGTGTGTGTATGTGCGTGTCTGTATATTTGTGCATGTTGCAACGGACTCAGTGTTGTGTAAAACTTATTTAAAATAGATTTGAAAACAGAAAAACAAATGAATGCAGTATACACATTTATATTAAATATGTATGTATGGATTTGTGTATACGTATTAGATGTGAACTAAGCTCTATTTGTGTTGTTGCAACATGTATTTGAGTACGTGCGTGTGCGCGTGCGTGTGTGTCATGTGTGTCGTGTCTTTGCATAACTTTGCATAAGTGCTCTCAACACCTGGCAGCTGAACTCAATTGACCCGCTGTTTGTGTTGTTCCATTTCGATATTGCAGTAACTCAACACCGTTCAAATAGCCCGCAGCAGCAACAGCAGCAGCAACAACAACAACAGCAGCCGCACTCCAGCTCCGGCTCATCGCCCGTAATGTCGAACAGCAGTTCGAGTCCAGCTCCGCCATCAAGCAGTCCCAGTCCGCAAGAGAGCCCCAAGAACTGCAGCTACATTTACCGTGATTGATTGATATGTAACACCAAATCGATGCCACTCATCCAGGCGTTGCCCACGCCTACGCCTACGCCCACGCCTACAAAACCAATGCACCAAGCACAGGAGCAGCAGCAACCGCACGAGCAAGTGCTGGCCAACAGCAAGCAGCTTGCCAAGTCTATGCCCGTAACGCCCATACAGCCGCAGTCACCCACAGATCCGCAGACTGCCCATTTCATGCTCATGCCGCGCTCGCCATCGTACGAGTTGTACGAGGCGCGACCCGCACTCTTTCGGCATGCCCACTCCGATGCCACATTCCAAATGCAACACTACGACGACGACGAAGACGACAATGATGACTTGGATGACGCCGATGTAGACACATCATCATTGGCCATGATTACGCCGCCGCCGCCCTACGACACGCCGCAGCTGGCAGTAGCTGGTGCGAGTGCCGCCTCCACCTCCAACTCCGCGCCGCCGTTGCCGCCGCCGCGTAGATTTCGTTTCGGCAATCGCGAGCTGTTCAGCATGAGTCCCGGCACGCCCAAATCCAATGCCATAACGCCCACAAAACTGAGCGCCGCTGCTGTCGCAATGTTTGCGACGCCGCAAATGGCCCAGCTGAACCGAAAGTGGGCGCATCTGCAGCGCAAGCGTCGGCGGCGCAACAGCAGCAACGGCGACTCCAAGGAGTTGGATAAGCTCGTCCTGCAGTCCGTCGATTGGGATGAGAATGAGATGTATTAGCGGCTGACCCTTTAATCGATTCACATTTGACAGTCCAACCCCTAAACTCCTAACTGTACTTGTAGCAATCTTAACATATTTATATATATAGATATATATGCCTGCCTATATAGCTCACAAATCGTGTCGGTAGCATGTCAAATTTGTATTTTCTGTAAATTAAATTAGCCTGCGATACACACATACACACACACACCTATGCAATGGCAGACCCCACACACAGTCACGTAGAATGTTTGGAGTTTATATATACTTATATAATTTTTGCCAATTTTAGATGCGACTTTACATAAATATTACAAAGTGCAGAGGCATTCGTATAGTGAAAATAGTGAACTCAATCGATCAAAGTGTAAAAGCAGTTATATAGATAAGGGTTGTCTTTAAAATCATAGGGTATTGGAATACAAGGAAACTAAATTAAAAACCATTTTATGATCTATTTATTTTATATTTATATTACAACAAAATACATCAATTATTCAGTTTGAACTCTTTGCAACAGACAAAACATTAAGACGACTTATTTTAATTACTCATGTAATTAAGATATTTATTGACCCAATAATTTTGTTGCCTTAAAGATAATGTTAATGTTCTTGACTTATATTTCCAAAAACTATATATTTCTCATCAATCATAAATTATATATACCATAAATTGTTTAATGGAATTTGAGGAACGGCTTTTAAGGACAACCCTCGGACTAAATAAACTGAAATAACTTGCATATTGAACTGGGCTGACTTAGCTAAGATTTATCCAAATGGCTTGATGGCATAAGGAACAGTGACAGTTACAATTTCTTTTTGTTTGCTAACGCTTATGTATGAATCTAAGGACATACTTAAAGCATAGGGGGTATACGCGTTTACACCCAACTATACTTAGTCGCAGTAAAGTGAATAGTTTGCATTTTTGAAATTATTAAAGATTTATGATATATCTACACAAGCAGCAGCAAAAAAATAAAAAACAATGAGAATTATACACAAGATTTATAAATAGTTATATACATAATATATATACACACATTTACTGAGAGCTGCTAATTATACGATTATGCATAAGTGTGAGTAGGCATCAACAGAACTTTGTTGTGAACAAAAACTCAAGAACTATGAACAGAAGTAAAATTATTGTTAATTAATACACCCACACAGACACACTGACAAACGGCAGATGGCATGTATTGCATGAAAAATACTCGAGAATTAGCAAACATGTAAATTTTTAGTAACGAGCAAAGATAGGGATTTCCAATGCAATTTGTAAATAATATTAAAGACAAGAGAAGTTGTGTATTTAACAAAAAAAATCGCCCACATTAAATATAACAAAATATTATACAGTACATACAATTTTTTGCATTTAAAACAACAACAAACAGAAAAAAAAATAGTAAAAATATACAAAAAACAAAAGTTAAAAAATACAATAAGAAAAAAAAAAAACAAAAATAAATTAAAACAAAAAACGAAACGCTTATTACTGATTTATAAATAAGTAAAATACCAAAATAGTAAGAAAAGAAAGAAAATAAAAACAAGTTAGTTTTTAATATATAAGATATACTCGTAATGAACACAACAAACTTAGTACATACTTACACAAATGCATACATACAAATATTTAATCAAAAATGTTGCTCCTGTTTTGCTTGGTCATGTTTGTTTATCGAAACCCGATTACAATTACGATTACGATAACGATTACAATCTGTGTACATAGAAACTGTATTGTGCATTTTACTTTACATATGATAAGCTTTTAAGGAACTGCCAACAGCTTACATTTCATTACATACTACGGAACGTTGCTTTTAACTCTATTCAACCTACATATAAGCCTAACAGTAGACTTTCTAAACACTCGATACCTACTATTTAATAGCGAACCGAATACCTAGACAGAGAAATGGGTCACTTCTGCTTTGAAACCTACTTTGTTTGTCCCACACATCTCAGATACATATTCTGAGTAATAGATGAACGACGGTCAATTTGATTTGCAGCCTTATGCTTTTACGTGTACTTCACTCCTTCAATTGCATACAAGTACAATAATGCTTATAACCAATTGATCTACTATATAAAAATTTGTATAAAATGTATAGCATTATACGCAATACCATTATTGAAATGTATAACTGTACATATGTGCGATATGTGCCATAAATAGAAAAGGAGTACGAGTGCGATTAATATCAAATTTACTAGCGAGCATTCATAAACATGGATGTTTTTCTGTTCTCTTTACTTGCTTTGGATTTGTTTTTAAAAATCAGAAAAAATGCAGTTGATTTTGAGTATACAGCACGAATTTTGTTCAATTCAGGCCCAATTACCACAAAAGCAATCTTGAGTATAGAATAGAAATGTCTTGTTTCACAGTGAGGAAATTCCTTAGTGTATATAAAAATCAGTAATCTTTATAATGGAATCATAGCATAACCAATTCCCAGAGATATCAGTAAATTTAATTATTTTCGCTTTTGTTCAACATAAACATACAATTTCCAATAAAGTGATCGATCAAAAGATAGTGAAAAGTATAACGTAACATTAGCTATAGAGACTTTACGAGTATGATAAATAGAATATAAAATCGAAATTTTTGCAAACATTCAAGAGTAGGGCGTTGGCTAAATTGCTAAGGGAAACACATTTCTCTTTCATAGAATAAGCCAATTAAATGAGAAAACATATTTTGTATAAAGCTTAAAGAAAACGAATTCAATAAAATAACTTTACGTTCTGTATTGCATATAAGAAAACGAAATGAAAGCGTAGTAATATCTAAATCAAAGCAAATGTATAAAGAATGGATAAACAAAAACACAAATTATCCTAGAATAAACAGTAAAACGAACACATATTTGGTTCTTTTTATAAACAATTCATTTGGCGCAATTGATGCACTAAAATTAATTGCATTTAAATAGCCAAAGACACATATTTAGTTATTAATATTATTTGGCTGCATTTATAATTTGTATAAGCTCCAGCATATTACTTTGTTAGTGTACATACAACAATTTACAAATATAATTTTTATATGACTTGATTATAATTATTTATTAACAATAAAAAATTATACAAAAATGCATTTACATAATCACCATTTAGTTCAATTTGTCACTTTGGTTTGAAACAATTGTTGGGTTTATGTTTGCTTAAAATCAATATATCAAATCAAGTGTCGAATACATCAAAAGCAATACAAACACTTAACATACTTAATAAGTATAAAGAGAAATTACAAACTAAATTACAATTGACACATACTTAGCATACAACAGCAACTTAAACTACAAGAGCAACAACAAAGAAATAAGGGAAGGAACAAGAGTATAGAATTGGAGGAAACGTAGCATATAATTAACTAGCGGACTCTACTAAAATCTAGAACTACATTTATAGCATTGCATACGAGTAAATACTACATACAAGTACATATACTTATAAATTAAATCAGATCATTAACTTTTATACACTTTACATTTACATACCATACGAAATAGATATACTTGATATATTATGGCAAGTATTGTAATTTAGATTCAAGCTACAATTAAAAGGTTTTACAGAGTATGCCTGCAGAACAGCAAGAATGAGAAGTAGAACGAACAGCAACAAAAATTATTAATTATACACTCATAGGTGATGCATATAACTACCTATAGGTACATGCATACACACTTACAATTAACAAATACTTTAGCAGACAAATTGTCTGAAAATGCTTTTAAAACAAAAAAAAAAAAAAAAGAAAAGAAAAAGCAAAAACAAATTCAAGGATAGCAAGTATTTTACTAGTGACAAATATTAATTTCTGAAACCTTTCTGCATATGCAAAACTTGTGAGACAAATGCCATGAAGTACTAATCATTAACATAAAGATAAACATTACCAAAAAAAAAATCGGAAGTTGAAATTAAAAACAAACACAACTCAGCAATTTTTAGGAACGCAGCAAACGATAATTATAATATTTAATAATAATGATTGATGATGATAACGATGATGATGCATACTTTAATGATAAGCATAAGCTAAATGACAAGATTTTTAACTTTCTCCAGATAAGATAAAAATGATAATTTGCTATGTATGTACGAAAGATTTGTAGCGAGCATATACAAGTTAACAACTAAGCATAAATATATTGCCCTAGCAATTAAGTAGCTTCGTATTAACAATGCTGACGCGCCAGAACTGAGTTCAGCGCTCTGCGCTAAGAACGGCCAGCAGCGGTAAGCTGACACTGCATGGAATGCTGAGTCGGCTTGCCGACCATGCTTTGATGGCGTGATGCATTGAGGCTTAGGGTATTTGTATAATTTGCTTGTCCCCTAGTTTTCAGTTTTATATGAAGCGCGCAACACATAAGTCGCCGAAATAAATATACTGCTCCGGCATTGCCGATAAAACATATCTTTCGTAATATTACTGGATCAAGGAGAACATATTTTGATCAAGGGCAGCGCGGGATCAACGCAACTTACCCAAGATAACATTGTGTTACATCGCAGAACATACATTAATGAATAACTGGCGCCCAACCAATAAATAGGAACCCATACCATGTAAGTTCATAAGTGATTTCAGTTTGAAGAAATTATTCACGAACGCCACGTACCGATACGTGTGATTTTTAAAAAAAAAAAAAAATTGTAAAGTAAAGTAAATATTGCTGCTCTCTTCTGCCAGCATTTCATTCCTTTAAATCATTGCATACTTTCACTAAAAACTGTTGCATACTTTTACCAGCGTTCCTTGTCAATAAAGCATTGCATACCTTAAACGAATAATTATTGCATACTTTCGGCAGCATTACATTTTTTGCTGCATACCCCTAACAATTTTTTATAATAAATATTGCATACCCCAAGATTCACCAGTTTCCACTATTGCCAACAGCGTTACCTGCCGATCTTTCTCGATCGGCCTAAGTTTGAAAAGTGCCAACCATAAGCCAATGAGTTGGAATTATAGGGAGATAAAAGTCGAATATAATAGTGACGATAGCTGGGAGGGGGAAATCAATTGCTCAGTAGATCCTACTCCTGCAGATACCGTTGTAACTGAAGAAATGGAGCCGGCTCAAGTTCAGAATCTCATTGAGGGTGCCATCAGGCAAGCTTTAGCGCAACAACAAAATCAGTTTCAAGCACAAATAACCGCTTTAGCTTCACAAGTACAGAGTTTGCAGGTGGAGGCGCCGCAAATCGTCACATACGAGAAAATATCCGTCGATCCAAACGCCAAATGCGATATTCCCTTGGACATTATTAAATCTGTGCCGGATTTCTCCGGCGTACAGGATGAGTATGTAGCGTGGAGGCAAGCAGCCATCTACGCGTACGAACTATTCAAGAACTATCCAAAGAGCACTGCACACTACCAAGCGGTAGCGATCATTAGGAACAAAATCAAAGGCCCAGCTGGAGCCTTACTAGTGTCTCACAACACTGTCCTAAATTTCGATGCAATACTAGCTAGGCTAGATTGCACATACTCGGACAAAACATCCTTGCGCTTGCTGAGACAATGTTTGGAGTTAGTTACGCAGGGCGAAATGTCCCTGATGCAATACTACGATGACGTCGAAAAGAAACTCACGCTCGTAACTAACAAAATTGTAATGTCTCACGACCAAGAAGGCGCGGATTTGCTCAACCGGGAGGTCAGAGACGACGCCTTGCACGCCTTTATCTCCGGTCTTAGGAAGCCGTTGAGAGCGGTTGTGTTCCCTGCACAACCAAAAGATCTACCATCCGCTCTGGCCCTTGCCAGAGAGGCAGAAGCTAGCATTGAGAGAAGCATGTTCGCGAACTCTTACGCTAAAGCCTTGCAAGACCGAGCGCAAATTGCTGAAAGTAACAAAAACCGTGCCCAAGGCAAGCAAACCAGATTTAACAAAGATGAGCAAAATCAGGAGAGAAATCCCCATTTTGTGAAACGCCAAAAGGGCGGTCCCCAGCCCCAGGCCCCTAAAGATAATCAAACTGAGGCTCCACAGCCCATGGAAGTTGACTCTTCCTCCAGATTTAGACAAAAAACCGACTACAGCAAGCGTCAGGCTAATGAGTCCAACGCACCAAAACGCAAGAATTCGTCAGACCGTTCAACAGGTCAAAGACGACAACGCGTTAACAATGTCGTACAATCAGATTCCAAAGAAGCCGTAACAGAATTCGAGAAGGCGGCCAAAGAGGC